ACTCTTACTACAAACATATACACAAATACTCTTTGGATGTCAGTTTGTTATTCCTTTGCAGAAACACTAAGGGGCAGAATAATCATTGAATAGAAGTTTATGAATAGTCTTATAAGAAACTGTCCTCCAGATGGGACGCATCGGTTGGCACTGCTGCTGTCGGTGAAGGAGAGAGAGCTCCTTTTGTTCCGCTTTCTGGTCATTGTCCTAGATCTTGAGCATTCTGGGCGGGAGTACTGTGGTGTGCCCTCGTTTCAATCCACATTTCCTAAAACTAAGCTGTGGAGTCTTTTTCATATCTCTGTCTTCTGCAGACATCATCTTAAATTACTGGTACAAACACATTTTTTCAAATGTCATCTCCCAGTCTGTGGTGTTTTCATTCTAGGAAACATACATGCCTCCACTATCGCTCTCCTAGTGACAGTGTATGGAATGTCTTAGGTGGCTGCAGCTCTCTCATGCTCCCCACTCCCATCTGCGCCATCACGTGAACTTAATGGATATTGCATCCATCTTTTCAAAACAATTTAGTTTAAACGATATAACCCAATAGTCCTTCTAGCTTCTATTCATTATCAAATTCCAAAGTCGCTTTTGCATTTCCAGGTATTTAAATCAGCAGAACCCCATTTCCACGACAGAGACCTGTGTAGTGTTCGTAGCCAGCAAACAAGGAAGCTAATGTTAGATGTCTGCGCCCAAGCATCCTTAACCCATAACAGTAGTCTCCCTTATAGAATTGAAGTACATTGAGAATTTAAGGAAGAACAGTGGCTATGTGTGTGACTCACTGGTAGAACGCCTCCCTGGCTTGCTTGAGGCACTAGGTTCCATTCCCAGTACAAGCAGAACAAAACCTAACCTTCATATAAGAGCACTTCAGAAACAACTAGATTATTGCTGTTGAAAAAGTTTAAGGGGACAAGAGGAAAGGTCCAAAAACCCCAAGCTGCTAGTGGCTTTTTTATCTCTCTTATGTTACACCAGAGAAACAAGGAAAACAGAAAGAAATTTAGTGAAAATTTGTTACCCAAGAACTTTATGCTACCCAAGTTTTCCCCATATTTAAAGCCTCAGAAATAAAATTACTTATTCCTGAAAAGGCCTTAGGTAAACTCCTAATTCCTTCCCTTGTCTACCAACTATCTATAGTAACCCAGCAGTCTTGTTTGCTGTCTATGTGACCTAAAGCAAATTACTTAAGCTGTTACTTAATGTCCATTGTGTACAATAGGAACAATTAGAGAAAAGTATCTCCACTTAATTGCTTTAAGAATTGTCTTACTAGATGCAAGACACTTGTTACTTGTCCTGCCACACAGGAAGTGTTGACAGCTGCTATTTATCCGATCCCTCCTTCCTGACTGTTATGCTCCCGTTGGGTTTCTGTCTTCTGTGCTTCCTGTCTATCCCTTCTTTTACTCAGTTTCATTTTTCTTTCAAATCATAGGGACACTTCCAGTTTCCTGTACTGTTCCTCGCCAGCTGTTCCGTTTTCTCCAATATGCCTCCAATAGTCGCCACGTTTAAAACATGTTGGGGGCTGGAGACACAGTTTAGGGGTTTCTAGTAGCCATGTCCAGTGGATCACAATCTCCTGTAACTCCAGTTCCAGGGGCTCCCACATCATTCTCTGAACACTGAAGTATTCCCCCGTCACAAACGTGCACAAACACAGGCACATAACAAATCTTAAAAAAAAAAACCAAAAACCCATGCTTGCTATGTTTGCATTTCCTTTTTATCTAATGTCTTGTTGCAACCATTTCTCTAAATATTTTTCCCTTTCCTTAACTTCCTCATGGGTAGCACACCACTTCTAGGTCCAGTGCTGTCAGCCAAGGAGGGGAGACGTTTTAGCCCTTCTGTCAAATAACTGGGAACATAAGAGGCCTCTAGTTGTGTGCACCACACCTTTGAAGAAAAAAAAAAATCTATTTATTGGAGTCTTTTGTGTACGTCAAGGGCACACCAACAGATTCTCCTTAGGTGCTAGGCAAAGAAACAAGCAGAGAGCATTACAATACTGTACCACCATCTCCTTCTGTTTTCTTTAGCATTTAAAAAAAAAAGTGGGTCATTTTTGGAAGACATGAAAACAATTCAGTGGGTAACGACAGATCTTTTTCAAAACGACAAAAATCCTAAAAAGAAGAATGCAGGCCAGGTAATAAACGTGGGGCTGAATGGTGAAATGTGTGCTTGATTTTTGAAATTTTCAGTGTGGGAGGTCCTGACCTTTGGGAGGTGGAGAAGGTGGACTCTGAATTCAAGGCCAGTCATATCAACTTAACAAGTTCGCGGTCTTTCGGAGGAGCCTGATGCCGTGCGCCAACATCCCGGACCCAAAACCTTGCAGGTGTGTGTATCTGTCTTCGTTTTAAAGACCAGTATGACTACCTCTGCTCACAGTCCAAGCAATCAGACACAAATATTAGCTAGGCGCAACCTCCCGACCCACCAGGTGAGGCTGCAAGGTGAGTGGAAGCCTGGGGAAAGTAATTGAGAAACGCCGCGCGTTGCATTCTGGGAATTGTGGTCCTCCGTGCTCCCCGGTGAGGCGCGCGTCTGTGCTAGAGGGAGGGGGGAAAGAAGGGGAAGGGTCTGCCCGACCGGAAGTGACCGCTAAGCCGACTGTGGGCGTGGAAAGAGGTGGGTATTTGGCCAGTTCCACGGCGTAGGCTCCCGTCTGAGTCCAAAGTGACCACCCCGTGCTTCTGGATCCAGGAGCCTAAGGAATGCATCACTAGATTGGAGTCCAGGTATCACCATGGCAACCGCCAGTGCCCTAGGAGTGTGACGTCACGGCGTAATGAGGCCTGCACGGGAGGAAGCTGGGAAGTCAGGGAAGGGGGCGCGCCTCCCCTCGGCGATGCCGGGGCCCGCCTGTTCCCCAAGGCTTTGTTCCTTTGTTCTGGGCCGGTCACGTTGAGGTGCGGGGCCGCCCGCTTTCTGGCGTGCCCCGCAACAGGTGTCTGATTGCCGCCGGGGAAGTAGGAGGTCGCGGACCCGGTGGAGGGAGCCTAGCCAGACTCTGTAGAGTCTCTGCTACAGGGCAGAGCTGCTCCTTCCCGTTCTACTGTGTGTTTCTCTGTAGTAATTCAGTCCTCCCCTGTGCTCTCCGCTCTTGGGCAGGACCTCCTGGCTACCCTGTATGGGTCTGAGGTGCGACAGTAAGACGCGTGCTGCAGACTGCATCCTGTGCCTTGTAGGCCAACCACGGAGGGCATAAGGCACCCACCCTGGGAGGGGAGCGGGACATTCAAGCCCCAGACTGAAGCTGCCCGGGTACCCACGTGTCCAGGTTCTAGCGGAACACGTAGAGCTCCTGAGATGGCAGGTAATGGGGACTATCACGGCAGAGCCGGCCGGAGGGGGCCCGAACTGAGAGGTGGGAGGAGGAAGCAATGTGGTTAGGGGTAAAGAAACCGATTACATCATCGGAAGAGCCTTGGAAGAATTAATTCTGTCTCCTGGACATAAAACAACAACAGTTCAAAATATCTGATCCTCTTGATATTTTTCTTTATTACATTTTAGAATAATAAATTGTAGTCAGAAAAAAAGTGTTTTATTTCTCCAATGCAAAGATAAGTTTTGAAATACCTTGCAGATAGCAAATTTTCAAGCTTGTGCAACTGTGGCCCTAAACTCGCCATTTTGGATGCAAACAACATGTTTTGTTTTTAGTTCCTTTTACCAAAAATGCCTGTTCTTGTGATCTTAAAAGCACTAAAGACTGTCCATTCTTTCACAATGCTGCCCTTACCTGCAAATTCAACTCCTAGAACTCCTCCCAAGTTCTCCTTCAAGAAACCTGGCCTCATTTCTTTAGGTCCATGTAAGATCTCTAGACTTCCTAGTTAACATATTTCTTACATTGTGGTGCCTAAAAAGACAGTTCTTTAAATGTTCCTTTAAAAATACCTGAGAGTAGCCGGGCGATGGTGACGCACGCCTTTAATCCCAGCACTCGGGGAGGCGTAGGCAGGTGGATCTCTGTGAGTTCGAGACCAGCCTGGTCTACAGAGCTAGTTCCAGGACAGGCTCCAAAGCCACAGAGAAGCCCTGTCTCGAAAACCCAAAAAAAAAAAAAAAAAAAAACCTGAGAGTATAAATGTTACTATCTGTTAACTTTTTTAGATTTATTTTTATCTTGTGTGTATTAGTACTTGCCTGCACGTCTTTTCTTTCATTAGGTATGTGTGATTGCACAACTGTACATTGTGTGTGTTGCTAAACTCACAGAGATCCACAAGTTTTTGCTTCCTTAGTGCTGGGATTAAAGGCATTCACCTTCATTTCCTGCTGTTTGTTGACGTTTTCTGTGTAGCAGAGAAAAGGGAGCAGGAATGTCTTGCCTTACTTAAGGAGGACCTCAGATTTAGCTATATGAACCATGTGAGTAGTTAAACATCAAGAGAGAAAGCTGAATCTTTAGGCAGTGTGTTTTTCCTTCTGAGCCTACTCAGGACAGTACAGAGGCTTCAGCTGACTCTTTTGGCATAGGGGGATTCAGACATAAAGGATGAGGAGACATGGTTGTTATTTCTAGGAAGAAAGGTGAGAATTTTTTCTGGATTGCTTGCAGCAACAGACTAGTCATATTCACCGTGGCCTCTTTCTCCTTAGGTCTGTCCTTTGCAGAATCCCCCGGTCTCCACGAGGGACATCCTCTACTCCCATCAACTAGTTTTCGGGTAAGTTGAGATTTTCTTAAGTGCCATGTCACTTCTTAGAATAATGTATCTTTTATTTGTGAGCTGGCGAGTCTTTCTGGGCTCTCATCTGCCCTGTGATCTCACCTGGATCCTTCTCTGCCTCTCCAGTTTCAAGGATGTAGTCACCATTTACTTAGTATCTTGTAACACTACGGGTATGGGGGGAGAAGTACAACATTTAATTCATTACTTGACTAGAGTAAAATAGCCAATAAAAATCTAAATAGGCGAATTTATGGAAGGTGAAATGAGGGCTGTGGATCTGAGGGAATGGAGAGGTGGGTGCGGTTTGTAAGGGACAGAGCATTGGGGGACAGATGGTGGGGAATTGTACTCTGAAGGACAAGTGACATGTGAAAATTGGAGTGAGAAACCGAGTCTAGGTATGGAGAGGTTTTTATAAGTAGAGGTGTACAGGTACGTACTGCTAACAGTCATAGATTGAGAAAGATTTGGAGGAGATGACTTTTTTGTTTTGTGTTTTCGAGACAGGGTTTCTCTGTAGCTTAGCTGTCCTGGAAGTAGCTTTTGTAGACCTGGCTGGCCTCGAACTCACAAAGATCCTCCTGCCTCTGCCTCCTGAGTGATGGGATTAAAGGCGTGCGCCACCACTGCCCAGCTGAGATGACTTCTTTTGAAAAATTAAAAAATAATTGGATTTAGTCAGAATATGAAAGATATTGAATATTTAATAAGAAGTGTGAAGGCTTTATTCTCTAGGTCATCTGTGATTCATAATAGTTGTCAGCGTAGGAAATAAGATCTCATAAAGTTCTTAGGAAAATGTATCTTCTTGAGAACTTGGAAGGAAGGAAAGAAGGAAGGAAGAGAGAGAACTTTCCCACAGGCCTTAATCAACCTCAACCCCCCCTTCATCAAGTTCCCTATTCTTATTCAGCCTGCCCACCCCAGTTCTTCCCAATTTCAGCTTGAGTACTTCTGGCATCACTTTTTGGAGGAATACTGTGACAATAAACTGCATGTATTTAAAGTATACTGTCATTCTTTTGTATCCTGGAGGAATTGGTTCTAAGACACCTAACAGATTCCAAACATGTAGATCCTCAAGCCCTTCTCTTAGGGCACAATCTCTGCATATGACCTGTCCCCGGCCTGCTGTTACGCTAGTCATCCTAGACACTTAGCTAATCCACTGTAAAGACAGCATAAACATTATGTCGTTGTCCTGCTGTATTGTTTAGGGGATAAGACAAGAACAAAATCTGTGCACGTTCTTTGAACATATTTAATCCACAGTTGCTTGAATCCACAGATGTAGAGGCCACCTGTAACTGGGTAAGTTTTAACATACATGGAAATTCATAAAACCATTATCATGTTCTAAGTGGTGAGTGAACAGATCCATGGTGAAAAAACACACTTTTGTATCTTAAATTTGAATCTTTTCAAATTTACTAAGATTCTTTGACTTTTCTTTTTCTCAGAATATTAGCCATCATATGAATAATCAAAGAGTGCTGTAGAGGAAGGTAAACTTGTTCATATTGGTTGAAGTGTCCAATACATATGTTAGTTTCCTATAATCACAGAAGCTTAGTTTGCTCAAAGCCGTAGAGGTCGAAAATCTAAAATGAAGCTGGTAATAGTGGCACAGACTTTTAATTTCCTAACACTTGGGAGGCAGTGGCCAGCCAGGATAATATAGCAGAACCGTCTCTCAAACCAGCCACCCCATAACATAATCTTTGAGCCCACAGGAATATTTAGGGATGTTGTGAAGATGTAAAGATCTTACTTTAATTTTTTTTTTGGCCAAGTTAATTGTAATGATATGATTTAGTGATTACTTGATTGTATCTTAGTTAATTTGAGAAATGCTTAAACACAGGGCCTATTCAGAGCTGTTGTCTTCATACTGAATTTTATTCTATAGCATGGCACTGTTTCAGTTACTTTATGCTTTGGTGTCCTTTGAATGTAATAGAGCAGCTGGGTGCGGTGGCATGCGTTTAGTTGCAGCACTGGGGAGGCAGTGGCAGCCTAATCTCTGAGCTTTAGGCCAGCCAGGGCCAGTCAGGGTTGTCACACAGAGAAACCCTGTCTCAAAACTCACCCACTCACACCCCACCCCCCACAAATGCAATAGGGCAGTCTCCTCATCCATCCCATTCTGTAATAAAGTTGTTGGATATTCCTGCACGTTATATATAGTAAAAGTGTTATTGATGATAGCAGCTATAGTATTAATATTTGCTATGTCTTAGTACTCGGAGGTGTAGAGGAAGAACAAGGGCAGCTTTGGCCGGTAACACCTGAGCACCTACTTAGATACCTAAATTAAGTACTTCACAGGGAAAAAAGGTTTTGGTTTTGAACTGCTTCTTCTATGTCTGGCTGGCCACTCTGCCTTCTTCCCAGAGTTCTCTGCATGGAAGTCCCACCTATGCCCCCTGCCTAGCTGTTGGCCATTCAGCTTTTATTATACCAATTACAGCAGTACGTTTTCATGCAGTGCACAAATATCACACAACAGTTCTATTTTAAGTTTTTCCAAAAGTGAACATCCTAGTGACCTACTAGTTTCACTTATATCACCTGCTTTGCTTTTATGGATAGTATTAATTTTTCTTATTTCCTGATTCTAAGCAGTAGAACATTTGATGTTCTAGGAATCAGTGACCTTTAAGGATGTTGTCGTGAACTTCACCCAGGAGGAATGGAGACACCTGGATCCCACCCAGAGGGATTTGTTCAGAGATGTGACACTGGAAAATTATACACACCTCGTCTCTATAGGTGAGGGGAATGCCCCAAGTAAAGATTCGGATGTGGGGAGAGGGTATGGACCTGGTCTCTGTAGGTAACAGAAACGGTGGGAGGCAAACATACACCTTGTCTCTGTGGGTAGGGTAGCCCCAAGTTTTGATGGGTTATGTGGAGGAGGGAACACACCTGGTTTCTGCAGATGGGGGTGGCCCCAAAGTTAGACGGGATGTGAGAGACACTTTAGGTGCTTAGATGTGACTGATACCTAAGTTTAGGAACCAACAATTCTAAATTTTGGAAGTTTCTCCTCATTATTAAGTGGAACAGCAACTAATCACTCTCTTCAGATCAGCTTCTCGGCTGCCCCACTGTTCATGACAGTTGTATGCTGTCCATCCCACCAGAGTTTTCCCAAGTGGATCTTCTGGAGTGGTGAGATTGCGTTCTGATGTGGTGCTTTTTCCTTATTGCAGACAGATTCCTTTTTTTCCTCCCTCTGAGCAGGACTCCAGGTTTCCAAACCTGATATGATTTCCCAGCTAGAACAAGGGACAGAGCCATGGACAGAGGAGTCGTGCGTTCCTGTTGGTTCCATGGAAGGTGAGCAGTGTGTGACAACAGAGGACTGCTCTCCAGCTGCCAGCCTGGTGAGAGGTGACTGTGTAGATGTCACTCAGAGCATCACCCGTGGAGAGGAGATTCTGTTCTACATTCTCTTTTAGGAGGCATCCTTCCTGATTGCTCTAAAGCATTGGGTTGTAGTTGATATCACTTTGCCTTCCTTCATGTGTTTCATACTTGTGATTGGTTATCAAACACTTTTTTCTCTCCTTTTTGTTTTTCGAGACACGGTTTCTCTGTGTAGCTTTGGAGCCTGTCCTGGCACTTGCTCTGTGGTCCAGGCTGGCCTCACACTCATAGAGATCCACCTGCCTCTGCCTCCCAAGTGTTAGGATTAAAGGCGTGCGCCGCCACCACCACCCAGCTCACTTACTTTTCTCTTTCTTAACAGCCCAAGAGTCTGTGTTCTCGTTCTTAACAGCACAAGGCTTTATGGCCTTCATGTGCCACACAGTGCCTACAGTATATCCAGAAGATTCTTTATTGAATTTATTTTGTTTGTGTGTTGCCCGAGAGTGCAGGTTTATGTGGAGGCCAGAGGACAACTTGCAGTAGTCTCATTCTGTATGGGGATGGTGATTGGACTCATTATCAGGCCCAGCAGCAACAGTTACCCTCACTGACTAAGCTGTCTCATCAGCCTCAGAAGATACTCTTTATGATTATTTGCTATACAAACATATTTCCCTGGGTATCATTCCTCTTGGTGAAAACATGTCTGAAACACATTGCTAAAGCTGTGTACAGTGACCATGTTTTTGCCAAAGAAGTTCTGCTACTGTTAATCTACCTACACTTGTGCACACTATCCCATTATCTGTGGAGATATGGAGAGGAGATAGTGGGCAACATGGGGTCTGCATTCTGTTCCTGCTTGCAGTGGTTGTGACTGCACTTCCAATACAGTGTCTTTTCTTACTGTCCTGTTACCAGTGAAACTAGAGAAGTGGGGTTTTTTTGTTTTGTTTTGTTTTGTTTTTTGTTTTTGTTTGTTTGTTTGTTTTGAGACAGGGTTTCTTTGTGGCTTTGGAACCTGTCCTGGAACTCCCAGAAATCTGCCTGCCTCTGTCTCCCAAGTGCTGGGATTAAGGGCATGCGCCGTCACCACCCAGCAAAAAAGTGTTTTATTTTCCTCTATCACCCTTGACGGTTTTCCTCACCTCTGTCCTGTTCTCATAAACATTCCTGTGGCTTCAACTATTTTCTTTCCTCTTAAACTGGAATTTTGTATCTTACACATGAGCATCCTAGTGTAATGCTGATTTTGGCATCTTCCACTCCTACACCATATAGTCCTCCATTTCTTACTTCCAAATTCCAAAATGGTAGATTTGAATTTGTTATTTATTATTATCATTATTATTATTCCCTTCTAAATTTTTAGCAAAGATGAATACTTCTGGTTTCCAGGCTAACAATCATAAGTCTTAGTTAGGTCTCTCCTATTTGTCTGGAGTTTATCTCAGCATCCTTAAAATTTTGCTTTGTTGCTCATCAACAAGGAATTTCAGTTCATACTGCATCTTTCAGAGTCAGTCATTTTCTTTGTACCCTCGGTGGTCTCTGGTTACCTTTTCTTTTTCTAAATTCATGGAACAATTAGCTACTTCACCTAGCGGGCCACTTTTCGTGAGCAGACATGTCCACTGTACTCTGCTTGGACCCAGCTTGTGTCCACAGGAAGGGACAGTGATCAGGGCAGCCCTAAGCTCAAGAACCTGACCATCTCCATCTGAGATTCTGTTCTCCTGGTCATGGCAAGTGTTTCCGTGATGGGGACAGTGGCCGTAGCTTTGTTGTCGTCCTCTCTCTAACAGCGTGGGCTGCCACAAGCGTAGACTGAGCTTCAGCTCTTCTTCCGGCATGGCACGTTCCTTCCCCAGAGAGAAGATAACACCATTCCCCAAGTCAGAAAGAAGACGATGGGCATACAATGAGACACAGAGGGTTTGTGGTGGCTGTCCTCCTCCTTGCCAAGGATGTAAGCATAGGCCTCCACCCTTTGGTGCATATTCAAATTTTTATGCCTCTACCTTGTACCAGAGCACCTCCAGATTAACCCCTGCCTCAGTCCTCTCCAAGCTCTTATGGAATGTCTCAGCTCCTATCCCCACAGTGTAAATGCCCGTGTTATCCCAGCTACTTGTACACATCTCCCGTCTTCAAAATGCCAGGCTCTAATGTACCGGTCACCACTGTGTCCCATCCAAGAACAGAGTAAACTGACTCTACAGGTAGCAGACAGGGCTTCTCCAGGTCTCAGGTGGGCACCAGGATGTAAGTGACCACAGCATCCAGCAGCTTTTGCAGCGATTTCTCACCTAGCTCAGAATCACGGTGCTCAAGGGCACAGAGCCTGTAATGACTGGAGTCTCCTCTCCTTCAAAGCCAAACTAGGTGAGCAGCTCCTGGATTTCCAGCTGTGCTGACTCCCACCATCTCTGAGGCCTGCATAGTGTCTATCTTGTTCACACACACCACAGCATGCTTGGCCCCAATCTGTTTAGCCATTGTGCTCTTGCGGCTGGGGTATGGTGCCCCCATCAGAGTGCAGTCACCCAGAGGGAGAGTGCCCTGACCATATGCTTTAAATGATCCACCATTCTTGGGAAGTCTGTGGGCATGGAGGCAGGCAGGAATGCTGTACTCCGTCTGGACTGCACTGATAGTGATACCCCAAACTCTCTCTTTTGAGAATTGTCTGTGTCCTTATACTTCTTTAACTTAGCCCCACATTGCTCAACTAGAAGTTTTGTGATGGTTGTGGTCAGGGGAGTCTTGCCTGGGATTCCATGTGGCCAGTGCTACTCACATTCACATGAAGTTTGTCATGCGCAAAGGTCTTCAGGGCCCTCAGTGACCACAGCCAACCTTGTAGCAGTGAGGTCAGGTTGACACTTAGACTACTGAAGCAGGGTGTCATTTGCAAAAATGTGAGGGCTGCCATTGTGGTAGTAGAACCTCAGTCTTCCAGGTGCTGAGAGAGGTCGTCTGTGGGATTGACGTGAGCATTCTCTTCCTGCTTTCAGTTGGTTCTCCTTAGCGCTTTCCACTCTCTCCCCGGGTAGTAAGGTTATATATCTGAGAACCCTCAAAGAATTCCATAATCTCCAACAAGTTTTCTTTCACTCTTCCAGAAAATACTGACATCTTTTTTTTTTTTCTTTCAGACTGGAAGATAAGACCTGAAAATAGCGTGTCACCCTTAGAGCGTGACATTTCTGAAGGACATCCGTCTTCTGAGGCCCTAACAAACAGCTGCAAAAGGGCTGGTTCTTACAGCTCCGGCATCTTAGAAACGTGGAAGGCTGGCGGGAGTTTAGAGTCGCTCCAGGCAAACCAGCAGACTCGGCCAATAACTGCGAAAGCAGTACCCTCGTGTGAGAGCAGTCTCGGCCTGAGTTCAAGCCTCGTATCACAAACGGAAGGAGTTCTCGAACAAACTTCCACCAAAACAAGAGTCAAGCAGAACTCACAGCCCGCCCCGAAAGAGAAGCTGTGTAAGTGCGGCGAATGTGGCAAAGCTTTTACCTACTGTTCCGCTCTCGCTCGCCATCGGAGAACGCACACTGGAGAAAAGCCCTACAAGTGTAACGAATGTAACAAGGCTTTCAGCCGAAGTGAAAACCTTATCAATCATCAGAGAATCCATACAGGAGATAAGCCGTACAAATGTGACCAGTGTGGAAAGGGCTTCATTGAGGGCCCGTCTCTCACTCAGCATCAAAGGATTCACACTGGAGAAAAGCCCTATAAATGTGACGAATGTGGGAAAGCCTTTAGTCAGAGGACCCATCTTGTTCAGCACCAGAGAATCCACACCGGAGAGAAGCCATACACTTGTAATGAGTGTGGAAAGTCCTTCAGCCAGAGAGGTCACTTTATGGAGCACCAGAAAATTCATACAGGAGAAAAACCCTTCAAATGTGAAGAATGTGAAAAGACCTTCACCAGGAGCACACACCTTACCCAGCATCAAAAGATTCATACTGGAGAGAAGACCTATAAGTGTAACGAGTGTGGGAAGGCCTTCAACGGGCCTTCAACGTTTATCCGTCACCATATGATTCACACTGGAGAGAAGCCTTACGAGTGCAATGAGTGTGGCAAAGCCTTCAGTCAGCACTCAAACCTGACTCAGCATCAGAAGACACACACTGGTGAGAAGCCCTATGACTGTGCAGAATGTGGAAAAGCCTTCAGTTACTGGTCATCCCTTGCCCAGCATCTGAAAATCCATACAGGAGAGAAACCCTACAAGTGCAGTGACTGTGGAAAGGCCTTCAGTTACTGCTCATCCCTCACTCAGCACCGAAGAATTCATACTCGAGAAAAGCCCTTTGAGTGCGGTGAGTGTGGGAAGGCTTTCAGTTACCTATCCAACCTGCATCAGCACCAGAAAACCCACTCCCAGGAGAAAGCCTATGCATGTAAGGAATGTGGGAAAGCCTTTATTCGGAGCTCATCTCTCGCTAAGCATGAGAGAATTCATACCGGAGAGAAGCCTTATCAGTGCCCTGAATGTGGGAAAACCTTCAGCTATGGCTCATCACTTATTCAGCATAAGAAAATCCATACCGGTGAAAGACCTTACAAGTGTAATGAATGTGGTAGAGCCTTTAACCAGAAAATACACCTTACACAACACAAGAGAATTCACACAGGAGCAAAGCCTTACGCGTGTCCCAAGTGTGGTAAGACCTTCCGACACTGTTCATCTCTTGCACAACATCAAAAAACTCACACAGAAGAAAAACCCTACCAGTGTAACAAATGTGAAAAAGCCTTTAGCCAGAACTCCCACCTGATTCAGCATCAGCGGACTCATGCCGGAGAGAAGCCCTATAAGTGCGATGAACGTGAATCGTTTCCCCAGAGCGTGCTCTTACCCGAGCAGCAGAGTGCTCACCCCGGAGAGAAACCGGACAGCTGTAACAGATGCCCAAGGACTTTGAGCCGGAACACTTACCCTGCTGAGCATCAGAAGATTCACTCAGGAGAGAAGGTTTTTGGGTGTGGTGACTGTGGAAAAGCCTTCAGGTGTCGCTCCGCTCTCACCAAACACCAGAGACTGCACCCCGGCATAGCTGCACTAGGAGCATCATAAACGGCTGCTCTACTTGCTTTGGTGCATAGTGAATCAGGGTGGGGTGAGGAGCTCCTTAAAGTATTTTAAGTTCTCCCTGTCTCATGATGAGATAGGCTATTGGGCTGAACTAATCCAGATATGTTATTAAACAACATTGGAACAAGTGTCTTGTGTGGACGAGGTGAAATAAAAGATTGAGAGATGATTTGAAAGGTATCCTGGAGTTTTATACTTAGTTTTGTATATTTACAATCTATTCCTAAATAGTTGCGTTTTATGCATCCACATTTTGTCTTGGATCTACATGTTTATGCATGTTTTTCTAGGAGAAGAAATCTGTGCTTTAGTAACTAGGAATTTGTTTTGCTCCTGTTCTAATGTACTGAACATTATTCAGGAAATTGGCCCCTTAAATAAAAATAATTATAAAATACAATCAAACTCAACTGTGACTATTAAAATTTGGCAGCAGGTTCATTGTACCTGTATTTCCATCTTCTTAGGCTGAAATGAGACGGTTACAAGCCCTGGAGTCTAAAGTAGACTGGACAGTACAGGGAACTCTTATCTCAAAAATCAATTATTTCCTCTTGTAGCTTTAAATATTTTTTTCTAGGAGTTACAACTAGAGAGATCCTCTTCTACAGTATGTACTGGTGTTCGACCCCGTTTGCACGTGGTGTCTTGGTTAGGTTGCAATAACAAATAGACAGGTATAGTTTAGACAACAGAATTTTATTTCTCAGTTCTGGAAACTAGAGTCTGGAAAGGGTCCACTGTCTGGCTGTATGGTCAGCTATGCTCTTATGTTCTTACTTGCAGAGAGCAGAGAGAAAAAGGTTTTTACAAAATCCTGTTCTTGAGTGTTCTAGGATTGAACCTTCTAGACACTCATTCCTAGTAACATTGAATGGGGGAGTTTTCAGCTTATGAGTTTGGAGATAATTCAGTCCTAACAACTGAGAACAACAAGATTTAGTGCCGAGGCTGCACTTAAGACTCATTTCAGTTGGCCCAAGCTTCAGAAAATCCTGCCAGCCCCTAGTCCTCACTTTTTGAGATGTTATCTCTGTTATGTAGCCCTGGTTGTCCTAGAACTCACTGTGTAGACCAGGCTGGCCTAGAACTCACAGACATCTGCCTGTCTTTGCCTCTTTTGAGGGCTGGGATTAACAGCATATGCCACCATTCCTGGCTATTTAACTTCTAATTTGTACCCTGGAAAGAATAATTGACCTAGACTTCAGTACCCAACCCTTTAGTTAGTTGTTCTTCCCTAGGCTGTTCACAGTTTATTCAGCCCACACTGAAGCTTTTGAGAGCCGCCCTGTTTATACCAAGTCTCCCAAGCTCCAGGAGGCAGGGTAATTTGCTTCCTTACCAAAGTACAGAAACTAGCCCACAGTGTAAAGTTACTTCTCGTATGCTTGGTTTCCTTGTAGCAGAATCAGATAACAGCATTTTAAACATCCCAGAGAATGACCTACATTAGCCATGTTTTCAGTTTTGAATGAGCAAATTCAGTAAGTATATAGCAAGCAAAAGATATACAAGGAGCCACGGCAACCTGTGTATTGTTCCATATTTAGTCTATTTGTTGCCAAAGTGGAAAGCTTTTTTTTTTTTTAAGGTTCATTTTTACTTATGTGTGTATGTGTGTATCTCTGAGTGAATGGTGTGTGTGGGCGTCCCTGAAGGTAAGAAAAGGGCCTGGGACAGGCAGCTGTGAGCTGCCCACAGTGGGTGCTGGGTGCCGCATTCCTGCCCTCTTTAGAAGCAGAGAGCGCTCCTAACCACTGAGCCATCTCTCCAGCCCTGGAAAGCACGCACTTCCACCTCACCAACTAAAATGTAGTCCAGACGCTGGTGGTGTTTGGGATTCAGCAGAGTTGGGGAAAATTGCCTTTCATTTATAAATGTTACGGTTTCTCACACTTTTACAGGAGTTTTAGAGAGATAAGAGGCAGGTGTTATCCACAGAAGCTAGAATCTTGGCTTCCCGGAACTTATATCCATTCCCAGGCCAACCCCACCTTGTGAAACTGGTATTTTAATTCTCTGTGACTAGAGAGTAACTTGGCATTTGTTTCTTCACGTAACTTTTCAGGCAGGATGGTTTGGGGAAGGTTCTGCTAACCAAGGCCACGTGAGTCCAATCAAGCAGGCGGAGAGAAGCAGCACGTGTGGCTAGTGTCCCGGGCTGACGTTTACTCCCTGGAACCAGGTATCATCATGCTCTTGGCCCATCTCTAATTCGTAGAAGGTAAATCTTGATCTTTGCAGCATAGGAAGGCAACTTTTGGAAAATAGGATAGTAATTTATTTGGTTGTTTTGCATAGAAATCTTAGCAGCGTCAGTATAGGACACGTTTTCTACAGCCTTAATCCTTTTCCAGAAGACCACGCAGAGGTGGCAATCCCTCATCTCGAAAGTGAGATGACTTCCTGCTAGGCTGTGACCTGTATAGTGAAAAGTGTCACCATCAAGTGTTTCCTACAGAGATGCGAAGAGCAGAAAACACCGAAAGCCACATTATGACTTTGCGGATGTAGCTGGAAGCTCATATGGGAACTAAGTCAGTGACGGTCACAAAGGACAGAAGGACATTTCAGTGCTCGATAGCCCTCTGTGTGGTAAGGAAATGAGTTCCTGCAGACACCATCAGATCCCACTAGGATAATGGAGTGTGTGCTGAGCTCCTTGTCCCCTTGGCATTTGGGCAGGCAGATTTCTGCTATGGCATGGCCATCTTGCTTTCTCCACATCTGGCCAGAGACTCCTGACTCCGCCCTTCTCCTTCCCATCATTCTTAGTTTGGTCACCCCGTCTATACTTCCTGCCTGGCTACTGACCAATCAGTGTCCTATTAAACCAGTTCCGGTGACAGATCTTTACAGTATACAAGAGGATTATTCCACAGCATTTCCTCTTTTTGTCTATAAGATCAAGGGCAGAGTCTGGGAGATGCCAGTTAGCCACTGAGGACACAAGATGTAAAAAATGAGGTAACTAGCCATGAACCACAAGCTAAGTGGCATGGCAGATTTCTGCAGTCTCACACAGGCCTTGGTACAGAGGAGCTAATCAGCCACAACCTAGGTGGCAGATTTAGCTTTTGCCCATAAAGACAAAGGGTTAAAGAGACACAATAGAAACAGATTTAGTCTATGGCCATACCACCCTGAATGTGCCCAATCTTGTCTGATCTCGGAAGCTAAGCAGGGTTGGGCCTGGTTAGTACTTGGATGGGAGAAACATTTAGACAAAAAGGGCTCTAAATGGGTCACCACACGTTTGAAAACTGTTTGTAGGCTTAAGAAAAGAAAAAGAGTATAGTTATAAAAAATAATAGTTTAAAAATAAAATAGTTAAAGACAGAAATAAAGTAAAAAAAAGAGTCACGTAGAAATGGGAAATACACAAGGCATCTGGATCCTACACAGTATTGTGCTGATTTTGAATGTTTTCAATGCTGACAAGCAAACAGCTGCCGAGAGACATGGGATTGAAAGAGAGAATGATGAAATACACCAACCTAAGTATTTAAAAACGCCTTAGCTTTAAAACAGAAGCCAAAAATATATTTATAAAATGGAACCGAAAAGATGATTGCTATGGAGAAGCAGTTTTACTTTGTGTTTCAACAGGAAACAAGAGGTTATGGGTTCATTCCAGGTTAAGATGAACCAGGTTTGATGAAGGGAGACCTCCTGAACCTTGACAGGCGATATTAACAGGTTATAACTGGTTTTTCCAGGATTTGATCATTATCTCAATTTTTCTCAGTCCCTCAAGATCACCAGTATCCAACAATCAGCAGGATATCGTCTAGAGAACTACACCAAAATTCCCAAAATATTATTCATGAATGTTTATTTTCATTTAAGAGGGGTTGGTTATAAATTGTTATTGGTCATAGTCAATCTCTTTCTAAAGTAGAAAGGGGCATATAATATAGAAATGATGGGAAAAAGTGTAGATTATTATGATTTTAAAAAGGGGGTAGATTACTAAATCTACTTTAATCCAAAAAACAACTATTAATCGCAAAATACTTTGTATTGGTAATGATTTTGATTTATTGATATAAACTTAAGGTCAATTTTATTATGCTATATGTATATTTCTACTTTTATTTAAGGTATTATGTTTATGCAGCTCATTTTAAAATGTAATATATAATTAAAATTCAGATTAATATCTAGACATAGATAATAGTCAAACATTTAGTCATATTAGTTAGGTTTTCTAAGTATAAAAAGATATATTTCTTTTTCTTTTTTGTTTTTTTTTTTTGAGACAGGGTTTTCTGTGTAACAGTCCTGGCTCTTCTGAAACTTGCTTTGTAGACTAGACTGGCCTTAAACTCAACAGAGATCCACCTGCCTCTGCCTCCCAAGTACTGGGTTAAAGGTATGTGACACCACCGCCTGGCCCAAAGATATATTTCAATTATGTTGGTAATCACCAAACACTTCAAAGACCTACAGAATATGACATTTAAAATGTTTTAGGAACTTAGACATTTCTTGACTGTGAGATATGTCTGCTCCTGGCTGCATAATTACTTAAAAGAGGATGATGGGGCATTGAAAAAAACACCTTATAGAATTTGCTTTTAATGTGGCAAGGCCAACAGTTTGGACAAGAAACTGCCTGTGCCTGGACTGCTTGACAGTATGCTGTATAAACTGGACATGCAGGACCCACAGGAAAATGGCTGCTAAACTTTACCAAAACAAGGTGGGCTAGTCCTTCAGGTTCCTGCTTCAAAGGAGAAACTGCCAGACATTCTGTGGCTACAGAGGAAAGTGACTGATGAACTTTTATAATACAGGCAGGACAGTCCTTCAAATTTTCTGTTTTATTGAAAAGTCTGCCAGATAATTTAGGCCTGTAGACTGAAGATGGATGCCCCAATGTTACAGAAGAACTTTGGGTGACTATCCAGGCAGTCAGATGTCTCTGTCATCTAGAGTTTTGAAATTTGCTTACAATTCATTTCCTGCTTACTAGGGTAATAATATATTCTTCTAGGGTCTTTGATGGAGTTGAAGACTAGATAGTTATAATTATAGTTTTCCTTAAACTATAATAAAATTGTGATAAAAGATAAATTAGATATGAAACTTTGGACTTACAAAAATTGGATAAGTGATATAGTATGTTCTTTAATTTTGCCAGATACAAATAGACTGTATATTGTTACTGATTCTTGATAACTGTTTTGTTATATGTAATTTTACTATGTTAAAATGAAAACAGTTTTTGATTAGACAGAAAGGGGGAAATTCTGTGGGATGGTCTTTCTGTATGCTGAGAGTATATGTTACTCTCACTGGTTAATAAATAAAGCTGCTTTGGCCTGTGACAAGGAAGAATAAAACCAGGAATGAAATCCAACAGAGATACAGGAGAAGAAGG